AATGACCCTACACTTTCCTAGAACAAAACGTTGTTGACCTGTGTTATCTTTCATGTTTAAGAAGTAAGACCAAACCAGCAATTACTGTTATAATTGAAAGTTTCCGTAAAAAATTGTTAAGAAAGTTATCAACTCATAACTGTTAGAACGTGTCCGTTGCATTAAATGGATTCACCGGCTTTCCCAACAGATATTATTGATAGTACTAATCAGCTTTGAGTTCGTTGGACATTTCTGAATAAGAATAGCTTTATTCCGGTTAATTTATCACAATTTTTAAATATGGGTTTTTCGCATAAAACATGGTTTCTCCGACCACTATGCACCGTTGCGTTTTCGCAACAGCAGAACTAAAAAAACAACAAAAAAATAGATAAGCTGCAGAAATCTCACAATAGATTATGCCAAAGGGTAGCTTCACCTTTATATTTTACTAATTTTGTGAAAAAAGTGTTTACTTGCAATTAGTCTTTTCTTCTTCCATGTAAAAAATAGGGCCGAATTTGGTCCAAATTTTGAAATGACTGCAATGGTGGCACACATAATATTTTTCATCACATGGACTTAGATATGATGCCAAAAAGCTTTTCTAAATGTGTGGAAGATTCATTGCCGCATTATTCTCCTTTTTATTTGGCGCTGTGCCAATTAAAGCTAAGTCCTTCTTCACTTGGTATTTCCATCGCTGTGGGGGTCTCCCTCTTCCTCTGCTACCACCAGGGGGTTCCGAGTTGAATACTTACAGAGCTGGATTTTAAGTCGATGCACTATGTCTATGTCATTTTAACGCTCACACAGCTCATCGTTCCTTCGTCTGCGGTACTCGTCGTCGCTAAAGAGTAAATGCCCGTAAATTGTCCGCAAAATTGTTCTTTCGAATACTCCAAGCGCCGCCTCATCAGATGTTGTCATTGCCAATGCTTATGCGCCATATACCAGCCCGAGCATGATGAGTGACTTATATATGTGGTTTTCGTATATGGAGAGTCCAAAGTAGCACTTGGTGTCGTATGTCGAGAGAGTTCTTTACTCTTGAATTGGCTACTCAGTCCAAAGTAGCACTTGTTGGCAAGAGTGATTCTGCGTTGAATTTCGAAGCTGACATTATTATGGGTGTTAATGCTGGTTCCCAAGTAAACAAAATTCTACACTTTCTCGAAATTATATCTGTCAACAGTGACATGGGCATCAAGGCGCGAATGCGGTGACTGTTTGTTTGATGATAGGAGATACTTCGTCTTGTCCTCGTTGACCACGAGACCCAATCGCGTTGCTTCCTCATCCTACTTGGAAAAGGCAGAAGACACTTCGCAATTCTTGTTACCGATGATGTCGATGTAACCGGAATACGCCAGCAATTGTAAAAAATTGTTCCTGAGCGGTTCAGTTCTGCACCTTTTATTATCTTCTCCTAGTAAGAATAGTAAGAAACGGCTCGGAGAGGTCTTTTCCAATTCTGAGGGAGCTGGTGGTATTGCTCAACGTTGTTTTACACAGACGTATCCGTGGGTTACCAAATTCTGACATCGCGGCCTATAGGCAACTACTTTTATTGATGTCGAAAGCGGCTTTGAAGTCCACAAATAGATGGTGAGAATCGACCCTTTTCTCGAGGGGCTTTTTCAAGATTTGGCATATTGTGAACACCTGTTCTAAGTTGGATTTGCCAGGTCTAAAGCCACACTAATAGGCCCAATCAGTTCGTTGGCTTCAGTCTTTCACACCATACGCTGGATAAGACCTTGCAACCTTGTAAGGCTCAGCGGTAGTAGGCGCGTACGGCGGGGTCGTCTTTCTTATGGATTGGGCGGATCGGTATACGAGCTGATGCATGCACCTCGCCGCCGTGCTTGAATATCTCAGCTAGCAGGTCTTCAGGTCCAGCATCTTTGTTGTTTTTAAGACGTGTAATTGCTATTCGTACCTCGCCATAGTAAGGCGTGGAACATCCACTCCGCCATCATCGACTGGGGTCTTGGGCTCGTCTTTTCCACAACTTTCAGTGATGCTACCATTCAGTTCAATGGAAGAGTGTTCCCTCCAATTTATTTATTTATCGATGAACATTCTGACATCGGTCACTAGGTCACCATGGTTGTTCTTACAGGAGTTCGCCCTGGTTTTGAAACCTTCCCTAAGTCGCCTAACTCTGGTAAAATTTTCGGGCGTTTTTCCAGTCGGCCAGTACCTGCCACTACCTCATTTCAAAACACCCTGCGTCAGGTGAAAGATACAATATTGCATTCCATGAAAAATGTTTTCATGATTATCTCAAAATAACATAAAACATACGTTTTTAATTAATTTAATTACTCATTTAAAACAAACTAAATGTAATATTTTTATAAAATAAAAATATAGTTTAGGTTTGAATATCTAAACTGAGTGTTTTTCCAACTTTTTTAGTATATTGTCTCGCCCAAGATAATAGTAGTGGATTCTCCCAACGTTGCGTTTTCGCAACGGCCCACCCGAGGAAGCCCAATGCGACTATTTTTCTTTTAATCATTTCTCCATCGTTTTTACGCTTAAAATAGCTCATGTACTACGTTTTATTAAAAAATTCCAGAATTTTTTGCTTCTGGAATGAAATGGGTTAAGTGGACAAACAACAATTGAATACATATTTTGATATTCAGTTCAATACAACCGCCACCAATATTTTTAACGTCAATCGGAGCATCTATGTATGTATAATATATATCGATGGCTGAGTGGAAGATCGACCTATCTCTGCAGTCACTTCGAAAACGCCCTATCTCAGCAAATTTTTCAACAACGCCCTATTTCAGAATTTGATTAAAAAACGCCCTATCTCAAAATAGGGTTTAAAACGTCCTAGATCAGCTGCCGATTCGAAAACGCCCTATCTCAGCACATTATCAATTTATGTTTTTAGTTGTGAAAAGTTTTCTGAGATAGGGCGTTTTCGAACTGGCTGCCGAGATAGGTCGATCTTCCGCTCAGCCATCGATATAGTATTTAAATATGTCGTCGTTTCGCGCGCAATACTTCGTATCTGCCAAATGCAATACCACGTATGAGATGGCAAACAAAAAATTTATTTTGGTTACCCTATCTCAGCGCTTCCCTACTTCACAAATTTAATAGTAAATAATTATGGTAGAAGCTCATATTTAGTGAGTTTAGTTAGCAAACCATTTAAACGTTCTGAAGAAAAAAAGTTTCTCCGCTCTTTTGCGAAATTTTCGGACTATCTTATACGTGGTGTTTTGGCGAATACGAGGTATTGCGCGCCAAGCGCGATATGTCTATTGATTTTTGCTTACCCACAATTTCTTCAGTTGTCGCCGTACATAAGGTACAATGCCACAACGTTCAAATGGTCCCTTACAGAGTCTACAGTTATATCACCCATTGAGCTGGTGATTGTTTCGTTACCACGATTTAGAGAATTGTTTTCCATATTCGAGTTATCACCATTGGTTACACTGACTCCTCGCAGTTGTGATTCAGTGTCGACTGCAAGATGTTTTTGGCCAAGTCTCGATAGAGTCTCCTGTGAATGAGTTGCGGAAGTTGAATTCGTCGCCTCAATGTGCTCTTCGTTCTCATCATTTACACTGCTTCTATCAGCGGTTGTGTTAGTGTGTTCAAAGCTGATCAATTCTTCCACTTCGATGGCGCCTTGTGGAGTCACAGCTTACGTGGCTTATAGAGAAATGCGTTGCAATTCAGAAGAGGAGAGCATATATAATGCTTCGCCACCGTTTGTAAAACATAGCGATGAAATGCCACTAGAAAAATCAAATTTTAATTAAATTAAATTTTCGAACGATAAAATCTTTTAGTTATAAACTTATGGCGGACTTCTACTGGACATTAACTGTCAAAAATTTTTATGAAAATTTGGGCATACAAATTCGGTATCATTACGTTAAAATTAAGTCATAAATAAGTCAAATTTTCATAATTTTTTTTTCGTCTCATTTCCAAATGGAAATGCAGTTGCGTCAAGCGATTATTATACTTGCATTGTGCTCATAACATGAGTACTGCCATAAATCGAATCTGTTTAATGAGCTTTGCATACAAGCAATTATCCGATGCAGCGCATGACAGGGCATGACAGCAAAGTCTGGAGAATTTTGATTTTTCGCTATGTGACTTTTTCAAAGAGAGATACCACTCTCCAGTGCTCTCATTAGTCAGTTCCAGTACCCATCAGATTTACAGGAATTACTGAGAAGTCGTTCTTGTACATACATTGAGGCATATTTATAGTCGATAATAAAGTTAGTTGCCGCCATTTCATTGCAAATTATATGACAAAAAGCCGCAACTAGCTTTAGAGTCGACTTCATTTAGGCCTTGAATACACATTCTTCAATTATGTCTTCCTAACTAAATCCTGGAGTAGTGCCAGAAGTGAAGATTTATCTTCAAAATGGAGATATTTTTCATAAATAATCAGAAAAATCTTCACATGAAAAGAGTTACAACAAAATTAAACTCCATACAAAAAATCTTCACAGTGAAGATATCTGGCAGCACATGAAGATTTTTTTAGGATAGTTGGCCAATAAATTTTTCGTTTTTGTTATCAATTTACCTTGCAGGACAAACTCGGCGCTGTGAATTTCCACAAGATAATTATGGAGCGATATTTGTAAAAACAAAAATTAAAGTAATTTTGGTTTCTAAATTTAAATTAACAAATTAAATTTTCTATAATTAACTTTATAGAGATATCATCATCATCATCATCCGATAGCGAGGATGAATGCACAGAGTGAGTTTTTTTCTCAAATAAGATTGAACAAAATAAAAATTCGTAATAAACTGGAAATCACTACCTTAAGTGGTATACTTTATACAGAGGATTATTTAAAAAGGTACAGTCATGAGTGCCATGATATAGATTTAAATGAGAACAAGACTTAAATTAAAACGTATACATTCTTACATATGTCGAACCTGTATATTTTTACAGTTCTCTGCAGCTTGTTTGTTAATTCCAATGTTTGAATAATATACATACATATGTAGTTATACAAATTTTTGTATGGTTTGAGAACTAGTCAAGTAAAACTGTTATGAATTGATGAACTGGTTATTTTTGTTTTTAAATGTGTTTTGGTTTTGTATAATTAATAAAATTTAAATAAAAAAATTTAAGTTTTTTTGTAATAATATCTTCAATAAAGATATTTCTAAAGAAAAGATTTTTTCCAGTTTCATAGACCTTCTATGGATTTTCGAAGATTTTATCAACGATTGGAAGATTTCTAACAGAATTTTTGCTGGCAACACATTCCGCTCTGAAAAACGACCTGTTTATCCCATTTTAAAATACGAAACTCCCGTTTATGAATATTAAATATTAAAAGTTTTAAAGAGCAATATATATAAATACCAAAATTCATAAAAAATAAAGAAGGATTTAACTCCTTTATAAATCGGAAATTTGTATGAAAATGCCACTTAATTATTTTTTATGAATGAGGCCAAAAGTGTATTTACAGCAGCCAGATCCAGTTCTGCGGTTTTCAATTTTCATGCGTTGCACATGGCCTTATGGTTGTCTCTACGGCTATAAACACCCGTAATGCGACTATTGGCTTAACCAGCCACCGACGGAGCACCCTTCCGTACATGCCGTCCGTATCAAGATACAAAATTGTGTTGATAGAAAGAGAGAAGCAACGGACAACGTCACCAGTGATGTTAAGTCTAAAGTTCAAATTGTACCTAATTTGACAATAGTAATGGTCGCTGCGCCAACAAAAACAGTTATGTGATTTTTGTCAATTTTTTTTATTGCATATTTTATTAACACTATCTATTGCCCGCATTACTGCATTTTCCGTTCTCTTATATATCTTTTAGTTTAGAACTGACCAAAAACCGCTATGTGCCCGCAGTACTAGAAATACTCTGAAAAAACGGGTATACGTTTACTTGCTTATAACTGTTTTTGATCGCAGGCGAATCTGATGAGTGTGCTTTGATTTCGATGTAAAAAATAATTATAAACCAACTAAATACATACATACATACAGTGACTCAAACAAATGGCCATGTGTTGCTTTTCTTCAAATATTCGCAATTTTTTTCGCGATAAATTTTTTTCGTTATTTTTATATAAAAATATCGTTTAAGCTTTAACCAAAACCGTGTAAATCAGTTTTAAGCTTTATACAAACTTAAGGAAAATTCAAAAATTTTCATCAGAATTTCAACTTTTTACTCTGAATTTTTAGATGACTTTTGGGTATGCAGTTTTATAGCCCATACAATTTTAGTCTAATGAAGTGCAAGTTTCAAACGGCTAAAAATCGCGTTGATTTTTGAGATTTTTTTTTTTGGGTTTTTAAATATAAGCGCAATTTACAAAAACTTGCGTTGATATTTTGAAATTTTGTTTTTGATGGTCTCCCGCGTTTTATTTCATAAGAAATTCATACTTACATGAAAAGAGTGCGAAAATTCCGTCACCAAAAAAAACTCAAAAATCAACGCGTTTTTTTAGCCGTTTTAATTTTGCACTTCATTGGACTAAAATTGTATAGGCTATAAAACTGCATACCCAACAATTTTCTAAAAATTCAGAATAAAAAGTTGAAATTTTGATTAAAATTTGTTGAATTTTCCAAAAAAAATTTATAAAGTTTGAAACTGTGATTTACACGGTTTTAGTAAAAGCTTAGACGATATTTTTATATAAAAATAAAAAAAAATTATCTCGAAAAACATTATGAATATTTGAAGAAAATCAACACGTGGTCATTTGTTTGAGTCACTGCATGTATGCACATTAGGGTGGTCCAAAAATGTATGGGAGGAAAGTAAAATCGGAAATTTAATGCTCTCACCCCCTAGGATTGTTCTATACCGAAAAAAAGTATACCCCTGTTTTTTTATTTTAAAATCAAAATACATTTAGAGGTCGCTCAAAGCGCTCAAAATTTCCCATGTATTTTGTATGGGGAAAAAAAGACTTTTCGTAGAAATGGCATAGAATCCATGAAAATCAAAATTTTTCAATCTGAAAACTCTGCTTCTCTTCAAAGAACTTCAGAGAATAATGCCCAATTGTTTATTTAAACGTTTTTAATTTAAACTATTTTTTCTTTTTTTCTTTGGTATATTTCTGTTTGTATATTTGATTTTTTTTGGGATATTTCGAAGACCCTTAAAAAATAGTTAAAATTAAAAAATTTTTAAATAAACAATTGGGCATTATTCTCTGAAGTCTTCTGAAGAGAAGCAGAGCTTTCAGATTGAAAAATTTTGTTTTCCATGGATTCTATACCATTTCTACGAAAAGTCTTTTTTTCCCCATATAAAATACATGGGAAACTTTGAGCGCTTTGAGCGACCCCTAAATATATTTTGATTTTAAAATAAAAAAACAGGGGTATACTTTTTTTCGGTATAGAACAATCCTAGGGGGTGAGAGCATTAAATTTCCGACTTTACTTTTTTTTGGACCACCCTAATGCACATACTACTTCCACTACATAGATTCTACTATTTAATTTGATCGCTTGCAATTGGAATTCAACAATTAACAAAGGTAAAAAGTATGGAGGTAGACAGAGTCCACTCTACATTAGAAAATGTATTCAATCCACCGATATATTCAGCAATGGACTACATACATAAGTCGTATATTGTTAATTATTTAGAATATACAACTTTTATAAATTACACTATGCGACAGTCAAAATCGGGATGGGATGAAACCAACGGGAGATGTTATATCGGTCAAAAACAAGTTATACGTGGCCCGGCGTTTCGCTGGGTCACGTCTAGGAATCGAGATATATCGATTTGAAGTTAGTAACTATCATATAGGGGAAATTGTCACCTTTGGTAGTCTTTTTTTTGACATAACTCGAGAACCACTAGTCCAATTTTGCTCAAACCAATTTAAAAAAATTAAAAATTACAGTTCCTTTAATCTGTTAATATAACGTTTATCTATATACTCAACAGTTTTGCCGGTNTTTTTTAATTTGTTTGAGCAAAATCGGACTAGTGGTTCTCGAGTTATGTCAAAAAAAAGACCACCAAAGGTGACAATTTCCCCTATATGATAGTTACTAACTTCAAATCGATATATCTCGATTCCTAGACGTGACCCAGCGAAACGCCGGGACACGTATAACTTCTTTTTTACCGATATAACTTTCCCCGGTAGTTTGAACCCTTCCCGATCACTGACCCCTACCATTTGTCTCACAGTGTTATGAGAGTGTTCCTGGTAAGTTTACAACTATAAGGCCAAGTAAAAAACCTGGGGAAGCACCGGTAAGCAGCGCGTCATACCGACATCATTGCCACAAAAACGAGCTCTGTTATTACAGCAATACGAAACGGAGCTATTGTACGATGGTCCAAAAAATTTATCAATCTAAACACAACAGCCTACAGCCAACGTTAAAGCAATATATACACAAAGATTTCCATTCGTTTTGTGATAATCTACCTCGATAAATACTTAGTTTTACATTTTTATGCAATTTACTATTGTAGCAGGCAATAAGATAGAGGCCGATCACGAAAACGCACAAGTTCACTTGCTCGATGCTATCTTACGAATGTCTTTATTTCGTTTTTCTTGTCTCTACCCAGACGCTTTCCATATACAGAGTTGTATTTCTGCAGCGTTATATTTCTTAAATCTAGGTCATTTGCATTTACATGGTTGTATTCTCTAAATCTAGGTCATACTATTAGCAATATTCTACTACAATTTCTACTACAATTCGGCCATCCTGATTATGTGATC